GCTCGGATTACAGGCGTGAACCACCGTGCCTGGCCTGACTTTTAATAATTAACTTTTTGGCCGGGCACAGTGGCTCACGCTTGTAATCCCAGCACTTTGGGAGGCCGAGGTGGGTGGACTACTTGAGCTCAGGAATTTGAGACCACCCTGGGCAAAATGGCAAAACTCCGTCCCTACAAAAAACATAAAAATTAGCCAGGTGTGGTGCTGGCGTGCACCTGTAGTCCTAGGTACTTGGGAGGCTGAAGTGGGAGGATCACTTGAGTCTACGAGGTCAAGGCTGTAGTGAGCCCAGATGGTGCCACTGCATTCCAGCCTGGGAGACAGGGTGAGACCCTGTCTCAAAAAAAAGAAAAAAAAATAAATAATAATTAACATTTTGACCCACTGGAACATATTTGTATTGCAGGGAAAACGAATCTAAATTTGTTCTTTTGGGCCAAAGGTTTCTCCAACATCATGTATTCAACAAAGCTCCCCCTCTCTTGGCTCTTGGGGACCTATATCCTCACGCATTGGTGCAACTGTGTACAAGACGTGCTCTGGCCCAAGGTGACACGCCTGCTGCCCCACTCCCACTGCAGGCACTGCGGCCTGCTAACTTTCAACAGCTGCCAGAGCAGGCAGCTCCCTGCATGCTTCCCTTCCTTAACACATCCTGTCCTATTACCAAATTCATTTTCAAACCTAATTTAAGGCCAGCCTTTCAATACTCAGCAGAGCCATCAACAGGATTCTGGGACCTTAGTAAGAATCAAAAGAACTCCCGTCTGTCAGGATAGTGGTTGTCTCCAAAGCACTTCCAAGGTACTGTCAGGAGAGTGGTTGTCTCCAAAGCACTTCCAAGGTATGAGCCGACCTAGTCCTACCTGATATGATGACAGACCTACAGACATGGCACGGCACATGTGGTGTGCACAAGCACACACGCACGCACACACACGTGCACACACGTGCACACACGCGCACACACACGCACGCACACACGTGCACACACACGTGCACACACACACACATGCACACACACGCGCGCACACACGCGCGCGCACATGCGCACACACACGCACACCAGGTCAGCATGGAATTCGTTGACAGCCATGGAGCGCGGTGAGGCCCAGGAGGCTTTGCAATCCGACTCCCGAGGTGAGAATCCAGGCCACACCACATTCTCACTGTGTAATTTTGGGGAAGCCTCAGGTTGCTCTTCTATAAAATGGTAAAGATAACAGTATCGGCCTGGCGCGGTGGCTCAAGCCTGTAATCCCAGCACTTTGGGAGGCCGAGACGGGCGGATCACAAGGTCAGGAGATCGAGACCATCCTGGCTAACACGGTG